AGAAGCCATCATGGCCGACACATTGTTGGTGATTGTGGCGGCAGGCAATGTGGAGATGATCGTAATTTTACTTCGCTCAGGAATCTTTCTAGTCCAGGACCGCCTGTTTCAGGACGTTATCCTGGATTTCAGCTAAACAGAATACTGTTGAGTGACCCTCAAATAGACGGTACAATAGAGGCATTAGATGTGGGGTTTCCAGATATTCGGTCAAATGGGCCTTCAGAGCGTCATAGTATCCACGGTACGCATCTGTATGCATCTGTAGGGGATGGGTTGAACTCAGCCTCAACTTTTCAAATTCTATCCTTGATAGGGCATTATTCTGCGACACTCGAGGGAAGTTTAGAATCGTTCATCACGAAATGATGACGGCAGAATTTTCCCATTAATTGCTCAAAGATTCCCTTCTGGAAACACTCGGGTGAACCCCTCGTAGTACTGAACGTATACGTCCAGTTTGTGGCGGTGACTGGGGATCACGGAACCAAACTTAAGTATGTACCGTTAATGGCGGCCCAGTATCATCTAGAATGTTTCTGAAATTATCTCTCCTTCCAAGAACCCTGTTTCTCAAGATCCTCAGTAATCAAGTGCAGTATAATGGAAAATCTGTTATAAAAGTTTATTATCGCTATCAACGGAGGGAAGGATTTCGTGCCTTGTGGTTACGTCTATTCCGTTGGTTTATTTTGGTTTGACTCGTAGATTTTTGCTAATATGCTCCTCCTACTGGATTTCTCAACGGACGATCTGGTCCTCTGACATTATAGCTAGCAGTTTTGTTGGTTAAACTGATGAGCTGAAGTCTGGAGCGTCGCAGCAATATCACAGCTTTGGCGTATTGTTCTGTTGTTCTGCAAACTGCGGGGTCATTCCTCAGATGAATTCCTTATCTTAGCGTTGCTGCCTATATCTGATGTGTAACGAGTTTATAAGGCAAGAGCGACTGAACTACCTTCACTGACAAAACTTAACGCCACCAATAGGAATAAAGAAATGATGATGTCAATTGGAAACTATGTTATCATCGACTAGGTCATGTCACTTTTACCAATGCGCGGTTTTTCCGGTGACTCCAGTGCTTTATTGATCATGACAACAATAAACCAAGCCGGAAGTATCGGCGTTCGGGCCCCCACACGGGAGCCTCGAAATAGCCTTACACGTCCTGAAATTCAAATCGCCACGCGACTGTATCATTGGTAGTCAGGTTCGCCGTGGAATAAACAATTCCAGTTCAAAATCGGATAGGCACATTAGAAAAAACAGATGCATTCACCAGTATGGAGCATTGGAAAAGCTTCATTGCTGCCTGACCAACGCGCATTTTTCCGGTGACTCCGGTGCTTTATTGATCATGACAACAATAAACCAAGCCGGAAGTATCGGCGTTCGGGCCCCCACACGGGAGCCTCGAAATAGCCTTACACGTCCTGAAATTCAAATCACCACGCGACTGTATCATTGGTAGTCAGGTTCGCCGTGGAATAAACAATTCCAGTTCAAAATCGGATAGGCACATTAGAAAAAACAGATGCATTCACCAGTATGGAGCATTGGAAAAGCTTCATTGCTGCCTGAGATAAATGATTGTAGAATGAATAATAATGTAGTCTGATTGGTCACCGTGGCGTTCTCGTCTATGAACAGATCGACGACCAGTTTCCAGACTACAGGAGTAGTGTATGTATAAGATGAGCAAGAAGTCATTCGGTACGTAAGGTCAACAACGGTCCCATCGTCTTTGCGGATCTTGATGTGGGTGTTTCGGACCCAGTGGATCCTTCGGGTATGCACATAGTGAGCATAAGTTGGATTTCGGAAGAAAAAACATTGTTGAATATGGTAGACTCATTGAGGTCAAGACACGGATCACCTTGATTAGTGGTGCGGATATATGTGCCTTGATACGACTATATGTGTATTTGGGTTGCTCATCAAGGCCAGAATGCTTGGCTTCAAAATGAACGAAAATGACGCGACTACCATAGCCTTTTTGCAGGACCATTGCTATAAGGAAGATGAGCAAGAAGTCATTCGGTACGTAAGGTCAACAACGGTCCCATCGTCTTTGCGGATCTTGATGTGGGTGTTTCGGACCCAGTGGATCCTTCGGGTATGCACATAGTGAGCATAAGTTGGATTTCGGAAGAAAAAACATTGTTGAATATGGTAGACTCATTGAGGTCAAGACACGGATCACCTTGATTAGTGGTGCGGATATATGTGCCTTGATACGACTATATGTGTATTTGGGTTGCTCATCAAGGCCAGAATGCTTGGCTTCAAAATGAACGAAAATGACGCGACTACCATAGCCTTTTTGCAGAACCATTGCTAACCCGCATGCTCTGGCAGACACTTTGGTCCCGCTTCAGTATTTGTAGATCCTTGTGGCCTGCACGAACCATTGGTGAGGATACAGGTAGCTAATACAGTCACAATGAAATTTGGCTCAGTGACTAGTATTCAGCGGCTTGCATTTTCGGTCTAAGTAGCCCTCAAAAGGTTTGGGCTGTCTAACCCATTGGAAAATCTATAGCGAGTGGACGACAATGGACTGGTTGTATTGGTTGGAGATAATTGAATTTGTGATTTATTTTTGTTCCTTCGCCCAGGGAAAAATATTGGGGTCCTACTGTTGACAATCACCATTCCTTCCTTGGCACATTTCATATTTAAATGCTACTATTATGACAACTCGCCCTATGGAAGGTTCACAAAAACGGTGCTGCTTCTTCCTGATCAGCAGTGTTTCTATTCACGAGTAACACTAACAGAGTAAATGTGGTTTACGTTCGTTTATTGTAAGATTTTCTGTCATTCGTTTCTTGGGTTTTTGGTCCAACTTATGTTCCATTTACGCCCTAGTAACTGATGTTCATAGTTTGTTGCTTTCCGTCTTTGCTTGTAGGTTCAAGCACCCGCTCTGACGGGAAAACGGACCGGTCGGCGACCGAGCCCAGAGCTCTTCAGGTGGTAGGCAGACCTGTTGTCCGCCAGACCAACATCACACATAGAAAAAACTTATTCTTCCTATTGCCTTCATACCGCATCTGCTTTCTTTGAGCTTTATCTCTATACGGGTCAAGCGCGCAACCCGATTTGGCACCCGACACAGGTTGCTGCACTGCGGCGCCAGCCAAAGACATTTCCTCACCACCCGAACAAACTGTCTCTGTTTACACTGTAACGGCCTGTTTACACCGTTTGACCGCCCGTATCTCTACGTTTGTACATAACTTGTTACTTACCCGCTTTTGCTTCCAGAAAGTCCTGCCGCCTCAATGGCCATTTTTCAACTGCTAATGGTTGCGCTATTAGTAACTGTACGGCTTACTTAATTCGCAGTGTTTATTGACACCTTTGTACATCAAACCAGCCCAGCAACCTTATGAGCAGTGTATCACGTATATACACAACGCGATATCTCGAATACCGTACCAGTTGAAACATGAGGCGTCCATGCACAGCACATTCAGCCGCCTGGAAACATAACCGTGCCACTCCCTGACGGGACCGAGCTTTTTGGTTGTGGTAGCGGGAGGCCAGAGCCTCATATACTTGAGGCATTTTATTGCAAATAGTGCTGCTATTCATTGGGCGGTGTTTTTGGAGGTGACTGGAAAAGAACATTATCAACTAGTGGGTAGCATAACTCCAGATATTTTTATAATTGTACAGTCAGAATAGAAGCCTGACTAACGGGATTTGTTGGCAATGGGATTCGCTGGGAAAAGTGACAATGTCATCACCTGTGTGCATTATCCGATGTAGATTGCTGACACCTAAACCGGCATTGGCAGGAAAACGGGGTCACTTGGAATTTTCCTTTCATTAGGGAGCATATCAAGCTGAGACAAAATCATATTGTGAAGATTTTAAGGTGGTGTACAAAGGAGAGCGTTGAAGAAGTCCTGTGAATATTGGACTGCCTTCGAGTAAGCTACGCAGTGACCAAATGGTAAGAATGCAATGGCTGCTATTAGCATGGGCGGGAAACATTTGGCCAGAACGTACATTAATCGTGAAAACCGGGAAGGGATTGAAATGGGTGATGCAACCAGGGCACACTTTCAATGTCTGCTTTAAGTTTACAAAAACACCAAATAAAGAATATCATGTGAGTACATTTGTGCTGCAACCCACAAATTTCAGAAGAACCACTGGATTTGTTAGTGTAACTGACGTGGACGCTGTTTAGCACCCCGCAAGGTGGCCTTATTTAAAAAAGCGTAAGTGTGGCTCGGATGGTGCCAAGCCGTGTATTGTAGGAAGGGACTATGTTCTGGTTTCAAGCATGCAGAACGGAGTGGTATGCAAGACAATAATAATGTTGTCCTGGAGGTTGAAACTGGCCCAGATGAAATCGACAACGAGGAAGTAGACCTGAAGATAAGATGGTGCTGGAGGGGATTGAAATGATGCAACCAGGGCACACTTTCAATGTCTGCTTTAAGTTTACTAAAACACCAAATAAAGAATATCATGTGAGTACATTTGTGCTGCAACCCACAAATTTCAGAAGAACCACTGGATTTGCTAGTGTAACTGACGTGGACGCTGTTTAGCACCCCGCAAGGTGGCCTTATTTAAAAAAGCGTAAGTGTGGCTCGGATGGTGCCAAGCCGTGTATTGTAGGAAGGGACTATGTTCTGGTTTCAAGCATGCAGAACGGAGTGGTATGCAAGACAATAATAATGTTGTCCTGGAGGTTGAAACTGGCCCAGATGAAATCGACAACGAGGAAGTAGACCTGAAGATAAGATGGTGCTGGAGAAATAGGTAGATGGGGTTGGTAAAAAGCGTTTCTATAGTGTGAACAAATATTGGGTGAAATCACTGTTTTTAATTCCTCCATTGGTTTTATTCAAAACTATTTCTATTGCCTTTGGCAATGTATAGTTGAAACATCCAACCGTTCTCAGCAATACGCTCACAAGGCTGTTCTTGGTATCTCCAAGGTCAAGTTGCTTTGGGATACTATTGTCTATTTGTTACGTGATTTTGAAGAAAGAAAGAACGAAGGACTCCTCGACCTGGAAAAAAAGAAAACAACAACAATTACTAAGCGCGATAATACATTGGTTTTGCACACCCTGAGAAATCCCCCAGCAAACGCACAACATTCCGCTGATCATAGGACTGCGCATCTCAGCCTAACTACCTCAATCACGACGTCCGTCACGGGACTGTCTAGAAACCGAAGTATTTCAGTGCAGTGACTACCGTACTGTGATACCCAGTTTGACAGCACACCCGCAATTGTTCACTTCCCACTTTGACCGTGCCTTCTCGCCCACTTGTTCCCTCACCGGCAACCACAATCAGTCTTCATTTGTCACCAGCCACCACCGGGAGGCGTTCATTGCAATCTGCCGAACCTTCTGTCAGATGTAAAAATCTCGGCGACTTTTATTCGCACTCCGCACCAAGTCGGTCAATTTTCGAGCAGTTTGCGTGAACCTTTTCTCCCAAGTAACTTTTACACTCGACCCTGATCCAGCAGCAACACTAGTGAGCCACTCAAGTTTCACTACACACTGTGATTACGAGTTTCCTTATTCCATTTGTCCATATTACCCCACCTGACCACCCCCATTTACGCTTTCCCCCAAAAGACCAAGGCCATGAAGCCCTAATGACGGTTTTGTGCTTTGGTCCAAATTGGCTGGTCATGTAATGGCAGTTTTGCTGCCTCTCCAAATCCAATAATCTGGCTCCGCACTACCTACAGATTGAAACTTTTTTTGTTTTTTCACGTTCCAAGCTAGAAGCTTCTGGTTATAGCCTCACTCGTATTGTTTTTGCCCGCCACTTTTAAATCCTAACGACCAGATCCTGTGTCATTTGATATGTTCTCCATGGGAGATAAAGAGCCCCTGTAATTTTGGATCCCTGCCCATGCCACCTCAGTTATGATGAGGTCCTTAATGACCACTGTTTACGTCACCACAACTTTTCCAGGAAATTCCCATTAATCGCAAGCCCCATCAGTCATGCTCTTATTTAGACTGTAATACTATGATCATGCCTGACAGTATGCTATCCACTAGTTGGGAATAAATATTATTATTATTAGAAATAGCCTGCCGGACCGCAAATGCTGGTTTCCGACTCCGCATCAAAGTTACTGACCAGGCTGGATATTCATTCTTCATATCCCTCTGGTTTCTAATAACTTTGCTCGTGCAACTCAGTAAAGAAATTTTTCGATGATTAATTTATTAACAGAGTTAACGCGTGTTACTTTGTTGCATTATTTACCCTGGCATATACTGGCTTGCATCCAATTACTGCGGTGCGCCCAGTCCCAATCATGAGCGAGATCACCACATGATATTCTCTACAGCAATCTCTGGAGCGCGATAGGCCTGAGCAAAATGGGTGTTCATGGAATGAAATGCATGATATGCAATATCACAGCTGCAAGGCTCGTTGGGGCGTTAATCGTACGGGTTTACAGGACGACCAGATAGTCCAATTACCTAACTCTCCTGACCCGTTTGTGTGTGTTGTTTGCATGCACTTTGAAGATGCTATGCATTCTGTAACTAAAAGGAGTCCTACCAAAAACGAAGCCACGCCCATAATGTTGAATCGGAAAGCCCAGTGCGAATGTTCCGTTTTAATACGATTACCCGTCAAAGTACTGGCGTCTCAGTTCAAAGCATTTGAGGAAATGAGCACAAAGATACAAGCAGCCTGGATGAAATTCGATAATGCGATTTCTTCCCCGAACAACTGTCTACCTACTCCAGACCTACTAGCTACCAGGAAGGTCATCCAACTCATAAAGGCGGCAGTCGAAACCGCCACAGTGTCTTTAGTGAACAGGCACATTGGGGTGGGCGGACTGATTATTTGGGAATCTTTCTCCAGAAAAATTCCGCCAACGAAACTGGTAGAGTCGCTCCTTGCTGGTGTCCTCACAACTTCTGAACACGGCTTGCTTCGTGCAAGTTGATTATACAAAAAGTGATCCAAGATGAACTTTGATATTCTGATCACCCTTTCCTCGCCACCTACCGTACAAAAGATTTTGGAGCGGACTGTTGGCATTCAAAAGGCTCACCCAAAGGTCAAACTCATATACGAAAATATCCCTACGAAAGCACTCAAACTGTGCCGCAGAAGTCCGACAGGAAAGATGCGAGCTGGTTTAGACTTTATTTCCGCCGACTCCAAGCCTGTGGCCAAATCGACGGTAGTTATGACCCTAGTGCTCTTGCAAGTATGTCGGCGCAACTAGACACAACTCCGGGTTTCAGCTTCTAGTCGACTACATTAGATTCCTCGACTAGCAAAGGCGGCGACGCTTGGGATGGAGCAAGCCTTGAGTGGACGCAATGTCCAAAGCACGTATAGCTATCATCGCATATTTTCGTAGCATACGATAAAAGGAGAGGAGTGAGCTTCCTACGCAAGTGACAACCCCTGAGCTAGTTTGGGTCAGATGTGAGGAGGAGCCTACTGACAAATCAACCACAAGCATTGACCTTGACATCAGAGAATGATGCAAAAACCCTACAGCCACTGAGAATGTGGAACTGTGTCCCCAAATCCACTCTGTCAAAAGTAACGTCTTGAACCTTGGACATCGACGTCGCCTATAGTACTGACGGCCAAACCTACAAAACCCGATAACGGCGAACTAGAAAATTTTTGCAAGCTCATTTTGCCGGGATGATTGTGGGCGATTTGGAAGCTCACATAGACGCGGAAGAAAAGTAGAAGCACTCAAAAATTATATTAAATTCGCTTAATTGGGAAGTTGGGGGGAGGTTTCAAGGCGAAGGTCTCCGCAAAAACGGACCCAACTGGACAGTTCCAAAAATAGTACTTCCTGGTGCTTCCACTCAATGCATGCATTCTCATAGCGAACCCTTGTGGGTCAGACCGCTCTGGGATACCCAAGATCAAAAATTAATTAAATTCGCTTAACTGGGAAGTTGGGGGGAGGTTTCAAGGCGAAGGTCTCCGCAAAAACGGACCCAACTGGACAGTTCCAAAAATAGTACTTCCTGGTGCTTCCACTCAATGCATGCATTCTCATAGCGAACCCTTGTGGGTCAGACCGCTCTGGGATACCCAAGAAACCCAATAGACCAATGTTTGCCCGAAACATTTGAACTACGGCAAACCTAGGCGACAAAAGGCAGTACAGAAAAGCTGCAAGTAGCAGTGAGCGAAATTTTTGCTCATAAGTGTAATAACTGCCTCCTGCAGAGGTAGAAAGCCAGCGCACGCTGGACTACCAGTGGGCAAAACACCCAAAAAATGAAAAGCGGTACGCGGAACCGCCACGATAAAGGGCAAACAAGTATGCCGCAGAAGCTCTGTCGGTGTTTTGGACTTAAACCCGGTGCACAGCTATCAAATCCGCCAAACTCTCTGATTTTCTGCCTCTTGGATGCCGAATCAGAGGCCGCAGTTGAAGCTTACAAATGATTTCCAACAAACGGCATCGGTCTTTTCAACCAACTTCACGATATTAAACAGTTAGCCTGCCTTAAAGAGCCGGGTGGTTGGTGTAGTTGCCTTATAATCCCACGCGACAACGCCCATCCCTATTAACATCTCCGGTGCAATCCCTGCACATTTTTGCAATACATTGTTGATCCAAATCCCGCTGCGTTGGGCCGATTTTCTACTTCTTGGTGTGGTCTACCGTATCCCCTCAGGTTCTTTGGAAAAAGATCAATTCCTAATACGAACCATTGAGCAAATCTTCTCCAGCTAACACCTAGCAACCCTTTTGCTGATAGATGATTTGAACGCCCTTGAGGTCTCCTGGACAGAGCCGTAACATGTCGCGTCTAGTGAACATTTTGCAGTGGCGCTGATTTAAGTCTTTCAATGAAGCGCTTAGACTTAACCTGTCACCACACACACCAGATACCACGCAGGTTAATTACCGTTCCTCCTGGGTTCGGTCATCACCACTGAAAGACAATTCGTCGATCAGGTTTTATTAAACGACCCATTCAGACATAGTGACTACTGTGTACTGATCTTTGATTTCATCTGTGGGTATGTGGGGTGGTGTAGTGGGGTAAAAATGTATTAAGGACAAACGGTAGCAGGAAACGCAGAAGTACAGTGTGCAGTGAAGCGACTCAACTGTGTTGCAGATGAAGCAG